AAAGCCCATAAATCTTCATATCTCAGAATTCTATTTTTATGGGCAGAGTCTTTGAAAATTTTAATAAGAATAGGATAATGGTCAGATGCAATTCTAGGCAAATGTCTGACCGAAGCAATATGAATATCATTCAAATCCTTACTATTCAAAATACTCCTATCCAGCCTTTCCAAAATGCGAGCACTTCCGATTTTGTTGTTGCACCAAGTGAATTTAGGTCCTACCAACCCAATATCATGAAAATCATTTTTGGACATGAAAGCCTTCATTTCTTGCAGCCCTTTAGGTACTACCTCACCTCTTCTCTTCTTGTGACAAAATGCAATTGAAATATCCACCCACCACCATAGGAGTATTCATGTCACAATTAGACTCTAAACAATCCCACAAATTCCTTCTTATGTACAAATTTTTATTGCCATACACCGTAGAAATTCTCTAAACACCTTTATTGATAATGTTCACATCCCCAATGACACATTGGGGAGAAGATTCCAATAATGAAAAAGAAACCAAATTTGTCTTCCATAGAATCATGATCCCTCCAGAAGAATTGTCAGAAGGATATAAATAGAAATCCCAATTCTCTCCCATAAATTTATTAATATCATATTTAGCGAAAGAAGATATCTTTGTTTCAACAATTCCCAAAAAAAAAACACATCCCATTTCTTAAGAAACTCTTTTAAATAAAGAGAGGCCTCCCTTTTATTCACCCCTCTACAATTCCAAAATGCTAGGGAAGTCATTTAGATATAGAGGGGGTAGGTCTCCCGATCTTACCTCTCTTCATTCCCTCATATTTTTTAGATCTAGATGAGTTGCTCAGAGGCCCAAGAGACTTAATTTCTTTAGACAAATTCAGTTTGTAAGAATTAGAGTTGATAGCCTCCATATTATTATTCCCCATGCTAACCAACTCCAATTTTTTTTGAAAAACTTCCATCTTACTATCAGTACAACTCGTAGAAGATATTCAATCATTACTCATTGCATCATTTTTAATGAACTCTACATCTTCCAACTCAGACTCCACCCGAGCCTTAGATACATAATTTAAATTTGTTTCTTCAGCTTCCATATCCAATAGCTTAAACATATTCACTTATATAGGAATTTTAGAGATAATAGAGGAGGAATTCATACCGTTCTCCAATGATGAGCTCCTTGATATATCTTCAGAATAATCAGTATCTCCCCATCTTTAATCAATTAGCTTCAGTTTCAACAGTATTAACAGCCACCCCATCTAAGTTTTTTTCCTCCAATTGTAATTTTTTCACATCATCATGATCTTCCAGCCTACCCGTAGAGGGTAAAAAATCTTCCTTGTTATTAATTTGATCATCAACCGCTCCAGCAACTTGAAGCTTATTGACAATTACCACACTTTTCTTCTAAAAACACGCCACAACTCTTTTTCTTCTCCCATTATTCACATGAACCCAAGGTCCATACTTAATTTCCTCCACCAGATTACTACTCAAAGGTAATCCTAGATCTTTTCCTGCAGTTTCAGGTAATGCCAAAGAAGCATGACTAAATTCTTTTGATTTGCAATAATTACTCAAGTGACTAATCTTTCAACAATTGAAACATAGAGATGAGATTTTTTCATATTCTACTTTTTGAAAAAATATACCTTCAAGTCCATCCACCCAAATTCCCAATGACAGTTGTTTGTCTAACTCCAGAAGAACACATACTCTATCAAATTCTCTACTTCTCCATTGGAACATATCACCGTCAATCATAAGAGGTGTTCCAATTATTGAAGCAATCTTGGCAATATTAATTTCATCCCAGCAATAGAGAGGGAGATTTGGCATTCTTACCCACACCGGAGATGTTAGCCCCTTCAAGGATGTACTAAAAATTTTTGGATTCCACTTATCCAACCCAATAATGTGTCCATTTACAAACCAAGGACCTCCTGAAATCACATTATCAATTACTTCTTGTGAAAAGGAAGAACACAACAACCATCCTGAGCCAAGGATTGTTAGATGAAATTTTCCCAAATGATCCCATTGTCTTCTCAGCTCAGCTGCTATAATCTGCACTAGAATTTCTTTGCCAAAAACCTTCACCACAATGGATTTTTGTAGCTTAGCCGTATTCACCTTCATAATTGGTTCAAATAATTTGATAGCCTTCCCATCTTCTGACGTGAAAGCTTCTTCTGTTGGCATATTCAGCTTTATATATGGAAGTTTAGTCCACAGATTATTTTGAATTGGCTTTCTGCAATCAAATACCATTCCTTCTTCATTCACTTTGTCATTCTCACAAACAGCAGGTGTGCATTCAATCGTTTTTTGAACTGAAGGGTCTCCCTTAGTAAATGCATCCGATTTGGATGCATTTCCAAATATGTTTACAAAAATCTTCATACCAGATGATGATGATTCAACATCATTTAATTTGAAATTCATCGGCGAGTTCGGAGACTTAGAACTAAATCAATTGCGAATTGCTTGCCTTTTCCCACAACTGGAGACGGAATTTGAATTTGAACCATGCTAGGTTCTTTGATCATCAAAGGCCTATTGGATGTAGCATTTGAATTTATCCAGTAATCCTAAATAGACTATTCAGGATGTGGTTTTGCTGTACCCTGATTCAAGTTGGCCGTAGTCCAGCCACCGGTACTGGTAGCCAACTGGCTTGTGTCCATTGCCGGCAATGCAACCAAATGATTAGGAATTTTAAATTTTGAATATTCTCTCTCTATAAAATAACTCTCTCTCTATTTAGCAATATTATTGATATGTTGGCTAGACTATAAGTCTCCTATATACCTCAATTAACATTACCTTTCATCAAACCTCTCAAAATTTGTTGTGAAACCCCTTAAGTAAAAGAAAGAAAACTCTTAAACATCAAGGTGCCTTTTGGAATAATGGTTGAAATTTTTGTAAGGAACTCTGTAGTTAATCAAGCTCATCTTAAAGCAATTATGGTATGAGTGATCTATTGAGAAGTTACACCAATCCATAAAAAAATTGTGAGGCTCTTAGGCCGAAGCGGACAATATCTCGGTAGTTAAGAGTTTGGACTGTTACAAATGGTATCAGAGAAATACACCATCGGGAAGATGGGAGCTAAGTGCAATATAAGATAAAGTGCTACGCCATGGGAGCCACCTCTTGTACCATGTATGGGACAAAGTGCTACATGACGGGAGCCACCACTTGAGCTTGTAGGGGCCACCTGTAGAGTCATATCTACATGGTGGATGATTTTGGGATGAAGATTATGATGAGGATGTTAGTTACTTAAGCGGGGGAGATTGTGACCCCTTAAGTAAAAGAAAGTCAACTATTAAACATCGGGGTGCCTTTTGATGTAATGGCTTGAATTTTTATAAGAAACTTTACAGTTAAGTGTGCTCATCCCAGGGCAATTCGAGGATGGGAAACCTACTTGGAAGTTACACCAACTGGACAAAATAGTGACTCTTAGGCCAAAACAGACAATATCTCGATAGTTAAGAGCTTGGGTTGTTACATTTGTCTCCTCCATCTTTTGTTACACGATCCTTTTCCCTTTTCATGTTCCTCATGAAGCTTGTCTCCCCTTTTCTCCACACATGCAAATGTTTCCACTCTTCTTCACATTTATATATGAATACACTATCACCTCATCCTCCTGTTATAATAACCCCCATCTGTAAACTTTTCCTGAATAAACTATGTATTCACTTACATAATGTTTTGACCATCAATTATCTTTTATTGGTTCTTAACATTTTTCTATGTTTATCCTCTACTTTTATACATAAGACATATTAGGAAACCTTATAGGAACCTCTCCATAAATAGGCAACTAATATTGAAATGTATGCCTTATTAAATAAACAAATATATGATCTTATTACTTAGCCTTCTAGGATTAAGCCTCTTCCATGTAATTGGGTTTACAATCAAATTTTAATTAGATGGCATTGTTAATAACTATAAGGCTTACCTAGTTTGCCAAGGGGTTCACTCATATATACAAAATTTATTAGTTTGACATATTATCTCATACTATTCAAATCTAATTCAATTTATCTTATATTATATGTTACTATCAATTTACCAAGGTGTACCGAGTTTTTCGAAAAAAACTCGGTACACCTCGGTACAGCGGGATTTTGCCTGCGACCGGATGTTTCTCTGCATCCGGTCGGAGGACGTAATAATTGTTCCTATTTTGCACCCTAAACCCTAAAATGTGTTATCAATACAAAAATAATTGGGAAGGTTTAAAAATAAGTGATGTTAAAATTCTACGTAAAAGAAAGGGGTGGATATGTAAAAGGGATGGATATGTAATGGGTGCTTGCAATTTGGCCAAAATTTTTCCCTCGCACCATAAGCTTCAGGATTTCAAAATGGGGGGAACTTCAAAAATTGAAGACCATTAGAGATGGAAGAGCAACCTGTCTAAATTAATTATATAAATTTTTAGAATTTTCAAAGGTGTTTTTATAAGGTTAAAATGAGTCCATAATCCAACTAAGTCACGTTCAATTCAAATTTGTCCAAAAGCCCTCAGGATTTTGAGTAAATTTTTGGGGTGGAACGGAAGGAAATATGCTTAAATACAATAATCATAATAATAACTTCTAAAATATTTATCAACTAAATTAATTGCATTATAATATTCTTTATAAAAATAAGATCTTCAAAATTAATCCTCACAATATTTTTTTCCCATCATATAACAAGCCGGCCTAAAGCAGTTGATGCCATACGGTCACCAGTCAGCCATAGTTATATTTTTTTATAGGTCAAATTTAATGAGTTGAATCAGACAATAAATAAATAAATAAATAAATAAAACAGCATTAAAATACTTTTGAAATATTTTTGAGTTATTAAGTTTGAAAGAAATTCATTTATTCTCAAATTTCTTGCCTTAAAAATTCGACATCCCAATGTTTTGAGGATTCTGTTTCAACAATTTGAAAAGTCACTTTTTATTTGTATTTCTTCATATTTGTTTACAGTTTCTCACTTTCTCACAATTTTTGTGTTTACAAAGCTTCAATTTTGCTTCGACCAATCTGCACATTATTCAAAGCTGAGGGCTGGCTACCATTGCCGCAAATTACTGCATATTTCTTCGAGCTTCAAAAGCTGAACTTCTAAACTGGCAAGAACACATTGTTACTCACTCATGATAATCTTCATCATCCTCATCTTTCTCAAATCCTTCTTCATGCTCTCTAGGAATATAGCCTTCTTTCACCAACTCCCATATTAATAAACGCAAAACTGAGTACATGACTTCTCCTCCATGACGCAACACGTCAACATCACTGAAAATAAATATTTGATTCTTGATACCAATCCAACTGCATTCACTTACTCTTTTCACTCCTCTTTCCTCCATCATCTTCCACATCCAAGCCATGCTTTCCCACATGCCTCTTCTCCCATACATCCGACCCAATACAAGGTATGGTAAAGAGAACTCAGGTTCAAACTCCATCATCTTCTCAGCAACCTTTTCTGTGAAGCTCAAGTTCCCATGAATAATGGAAGCTTCGAGAAGCAGGCCTAAAATAGATGCATTCGGCTTGAAAGGCATTGTTTCTATAATTTTCATTGCCTCCCCCAACCTCCCAGATCTCCCCATCATATCCACAGCACAAGCGTAGTGCTCGAGACCACATTTGATTCCATGTACTTCTTCCATTGAGTACAGTATCATCATTCCTTCACAGACCATTCCCCCATGGCTGCAAGCAGATAATACACCGAGTAAAGTGATTCGATCTGGCTTGATACCACTTTCGAGCAGTTGCTGAAATTTTTGCATACTTTCTGCTGCCTGCCCGTTCTTTGCCAAGCCCATAATCATTGTGTTCCAAGATATCAGGTCCTTGAAAGTCATTGAAGAGAAAATTTTGGTGGCAGATCCGACTGAGCCCAATTTCATGTACATATCAACTAGAGCAGTTGAAATGATTAAATCTGCCTCCATACCCAATTTATGAACACAGCAATGGATCTGCATGCCCTGATCAGGCAATCCAAAGCAAGAACTTGAGCTCAAAAGGCTTGTAAAGGTAAACTCTGTCGGCCTAACATTCCTACTAACTGCCATTACAAAGAGCTTCAGTGCTTCGTGGACAAAACCAGTTTTTGCGTAGGCTGATGCCATGGAGTTGAGCGTTGCAGAGTCCCATATCTCCATTTCTTCGAAGAGCCGAATGGAATCATTCAATCTGTCACATTGGGAATACATGTCAATAACAGCGCTAGAAACTATAGAATTTGAAAGGGATCCGAACTTGAAGCATCTGCACAAGAGCTGCTCACCCTTGCCCAAGTCCTTAAGGTCGGCACAGATGCTAATCATGGCTGAAATGCTAAACTCGTCAGGTGAGAATCCAGAAGCCCACATGCTTCTGAAACATTCAAAAGCAGAGCTTCCATGGCCAGAGTTGCCGAAAGCTGATATCATGGAGTTCCATGAAATGGCATCCGGATTCTCCAATCTCCAGAAAACAGAGTAGGCATAGTCAACAAGGTGGGCCCTTTCATACATTTTGATAAGAGAATTTCCAACCACGACACTGGAAGAATCAAAGCCACAACGAACAGCATTCCCATGAACCTGCTTAGCTTGCAGTTGGGTGAATACGCAGGATGCAGAAATAGAAATGGTATAGGCGTTACCTCTCAACCCAAGCCTCCGCATTGCGTATAAAGCTGAAAAAGCAGCGTCGAAGTGGCCGTTGCCGGCATAGCCAGAAATGATCGTGTTCCAGCTTACAGTATCTCTTTCAGGCATCTTATCGAACGCCTTGCGGGCGTCAGTCATTTGACCAGCATTTGATAAAGCGTTAACTAGGATGTTCCAAGTGAAGATGTTCTTGACGGGAATGTCGTTGAAGAATCGAAAAACGGAGAAGAAGGTCCCAAGGCAGGAGTAGAGATGGAGGAGGCGATTACCGAAGAAAGTGTTGCGGTGTAGACCGAGCTTAAGAAGGCGGGCGTGAATGGCATAGGCGTTTGGGAGAGAGCTGAAGGAGAGGCCGCGGTCGATTAGGAGGGAATACGAAGAAGACGATGTGACATTGTTAAGGTTACTCGTCCGAGAAGGAGATGTCATCGGCTTTAAAGAGCTGGCGTTGGAGGCCGATACCCATTTGTGTTATTGGATTCGATTCTGCCACTTCAACGCTCAGAGGGTTAGGCATTCTTAGTCGATTAAATCTGGACGACGCGTATTATAGTGCAAGGCATTTCACAGGTACGGGATAAAGGCCATGACAGGCGGTCTAGATGGGCTCAGTTGACTCGGGTCAAATAGGAAGGACTAGATTGGGCTAATCAAACTCAGCTATTGATGTCTTTAGAGATTAAATTTTTTCAAATGGGTATCTTATGAAACTAAACTTGTTGATTTTAAGTTCACTTAAATGTTGTGCTGAATCTAAATTTAATAAAGTATTGCTAGAAAAAAAGAGATATGCTAATTATATCTCGTTAACTATATGAGATGCATTAGAGATTTCCGAAAAAAAGATGAGCTCACATATAGGTGCTGATTGATTTGGTGCAATCTAATTTACAAGTAAGATAGACTTTATTAGCCAGTTTTTTGTCTCGAGCTTAACATGAATGATTTGGGGATATGAGTAGGCTTGGATTTACTTATTATGTGTTGTGAAATTGTTGTTGGGATTTTGATAAACAGTGAGTTTGAGTTTGCCATAACTTCAAAATCTGGTGGATGATGAGAGAGGAAGAGAAGAAGGTAAAAGTCGGGAAAACTTTACTTGTTTTCTTTATTCATGCCATAAAACTTAAAAGTATTTATAGGAATACCGAAAAATTCTAGACTCCTAAATAGTTTATTAACTTAAATGACTCATAAAAATATATTTACGTCAATCCCGAACCTATATAATCCCATATTATAGTAGATCACAAAGAATTAAAGAAAAGTAGATGAAGAGAAATATCATTCATTTACACTATGACAAGCATGCTCACCTTATCATATGTATTAATTTTTTTTTTCACCCAAACCCTAGGTTCATTAATTTACCATTAAGATTCATAATAAGACCTCAAAATTATATACAATGCATGTGAGCTTAAATATTTTATTTACACAAGTCATAATGATACAACGTTAAAAGAAACTACAACATTCACATATTTATAATTACATTATTATTGCTTTTACAAAATAGTACTTATAATATTCATAGTCATATCAAATTTATTTCATTAGTTAATTTCTTTTGTTTGAAATGATCAATATATATATACACACGATATGAGTAAGCATAAAGGTCTATAGGATACAAAACCCCTATGAAATAAGAGTAAGCATATCGAATTGCATTATTATCAAATTCATAAAAAATAAAAAAATAATATTTTTTAAATCTCTTTAATCAATTTAAATAAAACTATAAAATTATATGATATATGAAAAATAATATAATTTCTTTTAAATGTTAAGGTTACTCGTCCGAGAAGGAGATGTCATCGGCTTTAAAGAGCTGGCGTTGGAGGCCGATACCCATTTGTGTTATTGGATTCGATTCTGCCACTTCAACGCTCAGAGGATTAGGCATTCTTAGTCGATTAAATCTGGACGACGCGTATTATAGTGCAAGGCATTTCACAGGTACGGGATAAAGGCCATGACAGGCGGTCTAGATGGGCTCAGTTGACTCGGGTCAAATAAGGACTAGATTGGGCTAATCAAACTCAGCTATTGATGTCTTTAGAGATTAAATTTTTTCAAATGGGTATCTTAAGAAACTAAACTTGTTGATTTTAAGTTCACTTAAATGTTGTGCTGAATCTAAATTTAATAAAGTATTGCTAGAAAAAAAGAGATATGCTAATTATATATCGTTAACTATATGAGATGCATTAGAGATTTCGGACAAAAAGATAGAGCTCACATATAGGTGCTGATTGATTTGGTGCAATCTAACTTACAAGTAAGATAGACTTTATTAGCCAGTTTTTTGTCTCTAGCTTAACATGAATGATTTGGGGGATATGAGTAGGCTTGGATTTACTTATTATGTGATGTGAAATTGTTGTTGGGATTTTGATAAACAGTGAGTTTGAGTTTGCCATAACTTCAAAATCTGGTGGATGGTGAGAGAGGAAGAGAAGAAGGTAAAAGTCGGGAAAACTTTACTTGTTTTCTTTATTCATGCCATAAAACTTCGAAGTATTTATAGGAATACCGAAAAATTCTAGACTCCTAAATAGTTTATTAACTTAAATGACTCATAAAAATATATTTACGTCAATCCCGAACCTATATAATCCCATATTATAGTAGATCACAAATAATTAAAGAAAAGTAGATGAAGAGAAATATCATTCATTTATACTATGACAAGCATGCTCACATTATCATATGTATTAATTTTTTTTTTTCACCCAAACCCTAGGTTCATCAATTTACCATTAAGATCCATAATAAGACCTCAAAAATATATACAATGCATGTGAGCTTAAATATTTTATTTACACAAGTCATAATGATACAACGTTAAAAGAAACTACAACATTCACATATTTATAATTACATTATTATTGTTTTTACAAAATAGTACTTATAATATTCATAGTCATATCAAATTTATTTCTTTAGTTAATTTCTTTTGTTTGAAATGATCAATATATATATACACACGATATGAGTAAGCATAAAGGTCTATAGGATACAAAACCCCTATGAAATAAGAGTAAGCATATCGAATTGCATTATTATCAAATTCATAAAAAATAAAAAAATAATATTTTTTAAATCTCTTTAATCAATTTAAATAAAACTATAAAATTATATGATATATGAAAAATAATATAATTTCTTTTAAAATCTTAATGAATAATTTTTATGCATAAATTTTATATTTCATATGGTAAAATGTATTATATTTAAATTATAATACACATAAAAAATAGTTAAATTATTAATTGATTGGCTATCTTTCGTATCATATCATTTTATTAACATAGTTATCGCTACACGGGATTTTCTTCATTATGAATAGGATCATCATCCTACTACTCCTAAGAATGATATTCATCTCAAATTATTTATAAACTTTACTCAACCTCATGCATAATCATTCATTCTCCTTTACAACATATAAAGAGCTTTTTGCACAATCTCTTTAAATGATTTTAGATAAACTCATCAAATTCTCATATGGGGATGATCATTGAATGTACCAAACCATAAAGCATGTATTTGACCATTTTTTAATTATGCACATATATTTCAACCATTTATGTACCTTTGTCACTTGTAAAATATGTGTACATAAATAAAATGATGCACGTAAATAATTTATTGTTTTTGCTTAAAATTATGTATATTTAAATTAGTAACCACATCATAAGTAGTCCATGCTTATGTATAAATTATGTACAATAATGCACATGTTGAAATAATCATAATATAAGTCTATAAAAAATTTAACCGAAAAGTCATATTTATTTCCAATGGATCAAGGCTAAAAGATATCATCGTCAAATGCGACGAACATGGGTCAAATTGTCGTCGAAACTTTCTGTCGTAATTTTTGGCCCAAGTTTTACATTCCGTCCTCCTGTTGGTGGCCATATCAAAGATTTCAGGAGAAAATTCATTGGAAAACCTGTAGCATCCTTACAAAAATTGCAACAAACATTTTAAACAATGATAGAATAATGTTAATAATAATAAAGAAGATATCCCTTTAAAATATAAATCTCACAAACGTTCAAATATCATTGTTGTAAGCATAAATAATTCAATTCACAAACATAAATCTCACACCGATGTATTACACACATTCAAAATCAGTTTTCCAAACATCATTTGAGACTTACACATAAAGCTGATAAAAAATTCCAAGAAATGTAAAAATCTAATATAATCATCTTCTGTGTCTTCACTCTCCTCAAACTCAGGCTAAGGTTGTTGACCCTTCTTCTTTCAAATTTTCTTTGTGTACATAATCATAGTTTTGTCTGTATCTCAGATTGTTGCATCAATATGTTAGCTTGTATTTGTCTTATATCCTCTATCTCCTTGGAATGAGCAGTCGCCTTTTGGCTCACAATCTCCTCAATTTCACTATTATCAAATGATGCTGAGCTAGATAGGTTTGTCTCATATGGATATACCTAGGAGCCTAATCCACACACCCTCCCCTTTTGCCTCCCTCCCATAGCCTATGACCACATGTGGTACTTAGAGTACTTTTTCGATCATGAAGGTGATCTCTCAATAGTAGAAGACTGACTCGCCCGAATTCATTTAAAATTATTGTGCAAGAGATGAAGTCCATGAAAATTCATTAAAATTTGCATATTAATCATGAATACTATTGATTATTTGGTACTCACATGAGCTTTCTTTGCTTTCTGATCAATCCACTAATGATCAACTTGTTGTTGATGTGTTCATTTATGCAACTCTAACAGTGTAAGCTCTCTACCAAATATGTCTTTTTGCAAGAAAATCTAGTTAAAATAATAAACATATATGTGTAAAAAGAGGAATAATTAACTAGTTGTCATTTACCGAAAATTACCGGTGGATAGTCCGCCAAAAAATCTACCATAATTTCTTTCGGTGATCCATAAATTTCATGCAGTATATTAATCTTTATTAGTAATTTTAATTATAATTAAATGTATAATTATCATTCTTAAATTAAATCAAAATTTTTAACTTTGGATATACCGATCATCTCTCAATATTTTAAGCATAACATTTCATTTCTTGTCCAAATTTTAAATTCTTATATATTCTGGAAAGCTAAAAAAACTTTCTATAATTTTATTATTGATGATTTTATTTATTTCAATATCTAAGAATCTTAAAATATTAAGATATAAGAGAAAAAAATTATAGTTTTATATCTAAATACTTTAAAGTTATTATTATTAATTTAACCATTACATTAATTCCCTTACATTAGCTCCTAGCTATTTAAAACAATCTTGGTGTTATGATCGAGCAGTATGAAAAAAACAAAAAAAAAAAAAAACAAAGGGATCTCACATCGGCTAGGCCGATCCACTGGATCTCCGGAACTGATCGATGTTCTTAAATACGAGACTCTTTAATCAGAAACCGATTCTTATTAAAGGGCATTGTCCGTCTATTAATTCATATTTCGGTCTGGATGATATGCTTGTATCGACCCCAGCGACTTAAGCTCAAAACAGAAAGAAGTGCCGGCCATCAAGACAATATAAGAGTTATCTGTTTTTTTATATTAGTCGAGTTCCAAAGCCAGTGAACGATCTATGATACAAGCCTGGATGATAT